CACCATGAGTTTGAGGCCAGCCTGGGCTACAGAATGAGTTCAAGGCCAACCTGAACTACATAGCAAGACTCTGACTCAAAGAAAAAAAAAGGAAAATGGTACAATTTGAAGTTTTAATTTCTCTTAAAAAAAACAAGTTCATAATGTTAACATTAATAATGTAAGGAGAAAATTTCCAAAGTACTGGTTGGAGAGGGTTGATATGTTTGAAATACTGCTTGGGGAAACCAGTAACTACTGCATCCAATGGTAGTTCATATAAGTCAATTTGGCAGGCTCGGATTTAGCTCAGTAGTGCCGCCTTCTGCTTCACAAGTGCAAGGTCCGGAGTTCCATCCCCGGTACCAAAAAAAAAAAAAAAAGACAATTTGTCAGTGAGGTATAGACAAAAATAGATTGTATACATTCCAAGTTTCTGGAATGGAAAACAAGGAAACCGGAAAAAAATACCAAAAGAAAAATACCAAGGAAGTGTTAAAATTTGCATAAAAGATGTTGATAGACATAAAGGTGAATTACACTTATAAATTGGTTGAATTCCCAGTTAATAAGATCCAAGTTGAGTAAAAAAAAAATCTCTGAATTGAGATACTCACATTTGTATAAAACAAAGGTTAAAGGGGTTTAACCTTTAAAAACTCTTTAGGTCATAGCAATGGAAACATTTTTATTAGGTAGAAAGAAGAATGTTACAAGAAACTCCACATTTAAGAGATTATGTGGCACTCATATGCAAGATTTTTGTTCAATATCTTGATGTGGACAGTAGTTTTACTGTTGTAAACTTACATAGATACATATATTTTAAAACATTCAAAAATAGTGATTTTATGTACCTAAAATTCCTGAGTAGTCCTTCAGTTAAAGAGAATACATATAGAAAAAAAAAATTTGAAGCAGAAATGTCAGGATGTACCTGTAAAATTGATTTTAGAAATATAGGTCTTTTATATTAAAATACACTGTTTGTATAATAAATACAATAACCTATATGAGAATGTATGGTATCCCACAGAGAAAAATGCTGGTTAGCAAGTAGAACAATATTTAAAGAGCTGTTTAACTTTAAATGTTTCAAATTTTTTTATTATTTTTAGTGACAATGTCATCACCAGTAGATTTTCTAAAAGATGAGCACACACTCAGTGTGTGTCCTTAAGTTTATTTTAAAAATGGTTTAAATAGAAACTTTGTAAAAAGAAATTTGTGCTATTGTGAAGGCATTTTGAAAGAAGATATTTGGAAAATGTTCTACTGTTAATTGACTTTAGCTACCTCAAAGAATGAAAAGGTGCCACATATTAACATCTTCTACATATGAACACTTAAAACACTTGGAAACATACATTTCTAAACTGTTTAAAAAAAAAAAAGTTGAGCTGCCAGCTGGTTGCAGTGAAGCTAGCCAAGTGTGGTGGTGCACGTTTTTAATCCTGGCACTTTGGGTCGCTGAGACAGGAGTGTAACAACTTTAAGCTCAGCCTGTGCAGTTTAGCAATTTAGTGAGAACTTATCTCAAAGCTTTAAAGTAACAAAGAGCTGGGGCTGTAGCACAGGGAGAAGACCTGGGTTCAATCCCCAGTATTGAAAAAAAAAGTTTCCAAATCAAGTTTCAGGGGTGTTAAACCCACTTGTGGAAAAAATAATCATTCAGATTAAGAGGAAACTTGCTAGCCAAATTCAACAAAAGTTTGGCATTTTTGGTAGATAAGCTAAGAAAAATGAGAATTATGATGTAGTTAACATAATCAATGATAAACTTCCATTGGGACTTTTGAAGTTTTGGCTTATATAAAATAAACTGGAATTTTTCTATGATTTTTTAAAAATTGGGAACGGTTATCTACCTGCAGATCTCAGCCCACCTGTACGAGGAGTGGACCACAGAGAAGTACATAATGAGCTAGGAGATTACATTGTGCCTCCGCATTGCAGTTGTATCGCTCCCTGCACTGGTCAAGTTGCATGGAAAGCTAGTTTTCAAAGTTATCCTAATGGCAATTGCTTCCTTTAAAGAAAGCAAACCTAAAGAAGGAATGAATCAAACTAATAAGAAACAAAATATAAAGCTCCTCACCATTTAAAACCAAGTACAGTAAGGGACAATAAAGAAAATATTCATAGATAAAAATGTAGAGTAACATAGAAAAATAGGTTGTGATATAAATATGACATGCTCAATCTTCTGGATTTCTTTATTGAAACATAATGATACAACATAGTTAAAGTCCATAAGTCAGGTTTTTAAAAGTATATTTAAAGAGTTATAACATGACCAAAATCTAATTTTAGACTATTTCATTTGTGATAACATTCTCTGCTATATTGGCCATAAAAACAAGATTCCAAATAAACTGAGCTTAAAACCAGAACATCAAACCCTGTTATCACAAAGGGTTAAACAATGACTAATAAAATGACCCCTATTGGTCAAAAAATATACACTGCTAATAATATCCTGTGCTGGTAATAACTTTTTATACTATTAATAAAGAAATATAATTATTTCATAAATATTAGTTTTATGTTTATCATCACTTTAAAATGCCTTGTGTTTATAATTATATAATATGCAAGCATAGTGATACATGTATAAAGTTTATTAATAACTAATATACATCTACACTCTGCAAAATTTAAGAAAACAGATTGGAAATAACTGCCTAAGGGAATTATCAATAATTATGAAGGCTTAATAGTCCAAACGTCTGGCACAAGACTAGATGCTCTATAAGAATTTAAAACTGTATGGACTCACTGACCACCACTGAATGGAAAAATGGCAGTCTATCTATGTTTTGTGTATACATACTCTTCTCCCTCCAAATGATCATTTGGTGAGTAATCCTGCATGAGTATAACTGTGTAGGGTGTGATGATCACAGAAGCAGTGCACAGTGGTCAAGAGTAGGTTCAGAATTTAGATCATCTGAGTCTAAATTGGCCCTGTGATTTATTAGCAATGTGACCTCGAATCAACTACCATCTTTTCCATGCCCCAGTTTACTGCTATGCAAAACAGGGTCAACCGCAGAACCTACCTTTGTAAGTTTTTAATAAAGATTAAATGAATTCTTTTGTGAAAAGTCCCTACATGTATTGTCTAACCCATGGCCAGTACTCACTGCAGGGTAGTTACCAACACTATGACACCCACATCTAGGTGGGTAGAAGGGCATATTTGGATATGTTTATATTTATGTGTAAATGTATATCTGCCTCTCAGTATTATTTATATTGAATAAAAATAATATTCAATATTTATGATTTCTGGGCATTCATTTAAGTGCCATATATATATATATATATGTGTGTGTATATATATATATATATATGTTATCTTTGTTCACTGTTGGTAAATCATATAGTATACCATACTTTTCTTATTCTCATTTTACAGTTTAGAAAACTCAGATCCAGAAAAGCTAAGTAATACAGCTAGTCTAAGTTCACACAGGTAGTAAGTGACAAAGCCAGGAAGTCTAGCTTTCTAAATTACTGCTTGTCATCACTGTGTTGATTTAATAATATTATTTAACATTACTCCTATATATCATGATATCTTATTTTATATGATGCTTAGTATTCTGTCAAATACTTTCACATCCACTGAGCCTTAAAGCAAGCTTGCAGTGAGAAGCCAGGGTTATTATCATCCTTTATAGGAGGGAAAACGGGTCCAAATGTAACCATGGGTGTTTTTGGTAAAGTATTTCTTTACTACAAATATTCTGGGTACCTCTGATGTGGAGAGTCACTCACTAAGAGAACTGAGTACTTGTATGTCAGAACTGACTGGGGATACAAGCTACAGACTTGTTCTAGAAGTGTCACAGCCTAATGAGCAAGACAGATATGAAAACCAAGAATCACAGATCCCAGTGTGGTCTTGGGGGCAGATGGGAGAGGGCTGCTTATGAAGGGCCATCTGTGCTGGGAGGCCTTAGAAAAGGCAAAGGTGGCAGGAGAGAGGGAGGCTTTTTGGAAGAAAGAACACGTGTGTGTGGGAAGCCACATTTGTGTCTATGATGGTGTGTCTAGCATGGCTGTGTATGGATCTAAGCGTGTACCTGTACAGGTGTACTCACAGAATATCCCAGCCTTCAGCATGGAATGTACAAGATGCACAGATACCATAGCAGAATCGGGCTGGCCCTGATTCTCACATCCTCCCCACCTATTCCCCAACACTGGTTCCTCCTGCCATAGTAGCCGCCTCCTCTAGAGCTAAGGTGATCAGATTTCCCTGGATTTTACAGTCCATCGGTCCGGATGTGTAGCCATTTGCTAGAGCCAGCTAGCTTCCATGAGTACTGAGGGGTGAGCAGGCGCCGGTGTCTGTGGGTTTACATCTGTGTGCGTATTTCTGGCCGGCCGAGTGTGAATGCTTGGTGTTGGCCGCTCCTAGCCACACCAGGAAACCTCCCTTACCCCTTCATCTTCCCCACCTTAGGGACCTTCTCCTCTTCCCTGTTCCCCTCACCACCTGTGTAAGTACGGCTTTGGCCTCCACTTAACCGTCCTGGGGATATCTAAAATACGCTTTTGGGTTGGGGCTCGGTAGGCGCAAGGCTAAGCAGTTTTGGTGCCCTTGGTTCTTAGAGGTACTTTCTCCTGTCTCCCACCTCTGTCCCATTCTGGTCTACAAATCTCCTAGAGAAGGAAATGTGTGTGCAAAGCTAGTGCTTGTAGCAGCCGTGAGAATCCCAGAGGGTCAATCTCACAAGTGGACAAGACTGATAAAGGAGGGAAAGTGAAAACTTTCTATGAATTTTTTTAGGGGTTGAAGAGATGGGGAGTAAAGCTCTAATACTCTCACTTAAGCTTGATCAATGCTAAAAGCTACAATGACCCTAAATAATAAGTACTGGTATAACTGATGATATGTAATTAATAGCAAGTACCATGTAATTGATGGTGACTAACAGTATTTCTATTAAGTGGCAAAATAACCAAACTCAACTTTCCCTTTTGTTATAAAGCATATAAATTCAGGGCCATGGGGTGGTATAGGCATCATGTGCTGGTACAGGCATTATGTGCTGGAATACACTGGAGATTTGTGAGTGTTTACATCTTAGCCCAGTGCACTGCCACATAACTAAATGTATTCACATGTTAAGATGGGCAAGAATGAATGAAGGACAGTAATTAACACATGTAGTCTGTCAGATTTTAAGTTGAATGAATGAATGGTGAAGATAAGCAAACACAATCAGAAAAGTAGAATTGTCTCATTTAATGGTCTCTGAATACCTGGGTTCTGTTCCTAGTTCCACCAATGACTTTAATTATTCTTTTGAAAAGTGTCTTTTTAAAAACGATCTATTGATAAGTTAGTCTCATGGCAGGGTATTCCTCAAAAATATCAATAGGATTAATCAACCTTGGTGAAGTATATTTTAAAATGTAAATGATCTCTAACAATGTTGCATATCTAAATACTTTATATTGTCACATTTGTCCAATATATATTTCCATTTGCTGGATGCAAATATTTTCCTAAATATTAAGGAAAGGTGCTGGTTTTATAATATGCCAGGGAAATTTTTCCATAGTCAACATATTGTTTATTTGCACTTAAATATTGCATCAATAATCTGAAAACAAGAAATAGCCTGATTATGGCTACAGACTGTTTAGAAGCTGTGATTTCTATCATGGACTGCTTTCAACTGCTATATTTTATGGCACGGATTCAGCGGGAATCTGATCTGCTAAAATATTTGGGCTGTGAAAACTCCCACACTGTGACAGATGTCAAGTCCAATTAAGTGACTCATGTCCAGGTTTCTGTCCAATAGGATTTCCCATTAAATATCAATTTAGAGGGAAAAATTCCATCCCCCTTCTTAAGCCTTTATCTCGTCCACCATCTCCAGGCTGAATCAATTGGTACCAGGAGAGCCAAGAAGCCACACACAGCTCTGCATCTGTGCTCTGGCTCTCCCACCCTCTTCCAGTCTTTCTCCGCTTCCCTATCACTGTTGCTCCAGGAGACGTTCACTTTCCACCAACCTCTCTCCAAGCATCTCCAAGCCACTGGCTATATAAATTTTGCTACAAGGTAAAGAGAGAGGGGATGGGGTGTGGGGGGGTTGTGATCAAACCTTTAAAGACTTTGAAGCTGGAAAACAGGTGCCTGTTTATAAAACATACAAGTAAATGAGGGACCAACGAGAGGCAATCTTAGCTTCCAGTTACAGTATTGTGTTCGTTCCTGGGAGCTGGGGAGACATCAGCTGAACAAAGCCTTATCTGGGGGGAAAATCACTTCTGAGCAAGATCGCATCTCTGTCCACACTTCTCAGTTTCTGTTAAGCCCTAACAAGGGAAGGAAAGGAGTCCTCTAGGAGCAGGAGCGGAATCTTATCTTAACCATCTTTCTTATTGATTATTCCACTATTAGAAAGTGGAGGAATCAGCTCTTTGATGTGATTGTGTTTCTCCCTGCATCTCTTTTGTTATTTATAGAGCCATAGAAGAGGAAAAAGCAGGAGACTTTTCAACACATCATTTAAAAAAAACAACAACAACGAATTTTTCGAAATGTTTGAGAACAATTAAAAGGAAAAGGCGTTTTTGATCTACCAGCTAAGTGAACAATCATTCATATCATCCACATCCTGAGATACCGTCTCTTGCTGCGGGCACCGGCGAGATGACAGCTGCTTTTTCATTTTTGAATGTAATAAACAATTGCTGCTTTTAATATTTTTTCCGGAATTTCCCCCTCGCCATTCCCTGGAATTTTAACTCTAAAAGATTGGAGAAAAGATTGTCGAAAAGGCTTTTGCAAGGTAAGACTCCTTTAAATCTTTTTTTTTTTTTTGGCAGCTTGAAACTAAGTTAATTCATATTACATGTATAGATTCATTTCGGTCCATAATGAAAGAAATAAAATGCATACACAGCATGGTATTTATGAATTATTCTTAAAGCTATCTGGAAGGGAATTTAACATGCTTGGAGGGGAACCCAGGAACTTTTGTGCGAACTATAACTATGTGGTGGCTTTTTGTAATTTTCCACTTCTCTTCTGTGTATCTCTGCCCTTTCAAGCCGACTGTATAGGTGCAAGTTGGTTTACTTATAAGCGTACCGGAGAGAAGCCCATGGGGAGTCACATGTAGTTCACCTGAAGCGTTTGTTTTTCTTGCGCCTTAGAGGACCTGTTTTTCCCTGCCCGGAAACGAAGGATGTTTTGCCACCCAATTTGCTCAGAAGCGGGGCTGGGAGCCCACCCTCCAGGTCCCCTGGCTTTTGTTTCTCCAGGAGCAAACCCACCTACAAGTCTCCTACCCAGGTTTCTCCTGCGCCGGGCGTCTCTTGAGAGGGACCCACCGGGCCAAGGGTTCGCCGTCCCCGGACCCTCCGGGGCTCGCAGCCTGGCCAGCGCCTTTCCTTGCCTGCTGGCCCCTCTCGCGAAGCCCGAATTCCCTGCTCCGAGAGGCAGCCTCCCAGAAGGCGCGCAGCAGGGGACCGGGAGAGCGGCGAGGTGGCCTTTCCAGGAGGGGCCGGTCGGGGGAAAGCCGGTCACAGACGCCGGGCCCTGGCGAGGCCTCCGGGACGGCTGCGCGCCGCAGAGCCCGGGGCCCGGAGCGCCCGAACTTTGCCGCGGGGCGCAGCACCCGCCGCTCCTCCCTCCGCGACCCGGCTGGCTGCAGGGTCCTGCGAGCGGCTGCGGGCTGCGGGCATTGTGTGTTCCGAGTCCGCGCCCCCGGCCCCGGCGCGTGCGGCTGTGTGCGTGACAGATGGTGCTCGGGAGCGTGCGAGGGCACAGGAGTCAATTTCCTTTTGAAAAGAGCCGACACGTTTGTTCAGTCATTATTGCGGGGAGGCAGACGAGGCGAGGCGGCCTTCCCGCCCCCGGCTGCTCTCCCTGCGCCCAGGGATGGGCCCGTCTGCCCGGCGCAGTGAGCCCAGATGTATCCGTCGTGTGGTTCCATTCGTCTGTCTGGGCAGGGGGCGCGGGAGGGAAGCGGAATCGCCCGGCCGAGGTTGCAGGCCCCAGACGGCTTCCCAGGCCCGGGCCCGCCGGCCTGCGCGGGTCTCCTGCAAGCAGAAGCGCGGGGCCCGGGCGCGGCAGCCTCCCCGCTAGGACCCTTGTGCTTTTTATTGACCCGTTTTCCGATTCCCTCTCAGCCTCCAAAATGATGCTGAGTCCGGACCAAGCCGCGGACTCGGACCACCCCAGCTCGGCGCACTCGGACCCGGAGTCGCTGGGCGGCGCGGACACCAAGGTTCTGGGCAGCGTGTCGGACCTGGAGCCGGTGGAGGAAGCCCAGGGCGACGGCAAGGGCGACAGCCGCGCGGCCCTCTACCCGCACCCGCAGCAGCTGAGCCGCGAGGAGAAGCGGCGGCGCCGGCGCGCCACGGCCAAGTACCGCTCGGCCCACGCCACCCGCGAGCGCATCCGCGTGGAGGCCTTCAACCTGGCCTTCGCCGAGCTCCGCAAACTGCTGCCCACGCTGCCGCCGGACAAGAAGCTCTCCAAGATCGAGATCCTGCGCCTGGCCATCTGCTACATCTCCTATCTCAACCACGTCCTGGACGTGTAGGGCGGAGGCGCGGCGGGAGGCCGCGGTCCGGGGGCGGGAAAGGCGACCGACCCGGGCGGCCGCCTCGGAGGGGCAGAGCGGCAGGCGCCCGACCCGGAGACCCCGGGACCGGGAAGCAGCTCGAGCCCGTCCTCTCTGGTCAGCAGGCACCAGGAAGGTTCCCGAGCCGGGAAGCTGGGGTTGGCTGGAGAGCCCCGGGGCTCCAGGAGGGGTATTTTTCAGGCCTTCTGGGGGCACCCAACAAGGGCCGGGGGGGGGGCCTCCCCTAGGTGTATTAGGATCCCCACAGCGCTGTTGCTTTAACCCGCTGGAGACTGACTTCTCCTATGTTTATCTCCCACAGATCTTCATGTTTTGAAAGACCCAGGGCAGGAGTCTCAGAGTACAGGCTCATAACTTTAAACTCTATGAATTTTTCTAATTGACAGATCACCAAACTTTGGGAAGGGGGAGAGGAAGAACTCTCTTCCAGAGGTTAAGGCACAGCAAGATGAAATGGGAAACTGTTTCTTTGTCAGAAGAAAGATGGTATTAGAGTCCAGACAAAACAAACGCTGAATATTTGGCAGGTTTAAAAGACAAATTGAGAAGAGACAAGCTGTGGGAGGATTTGAGCTGGGTGAGATCGTAACCCCGAGAGGACACTGACCTAGACTGAAAAAACCCTATTTAAGTGGAACATTTAACATCTGACTGCTCTTTCAGGTGAAGTGCCCCTTTATATATCCAAAAACATCTATTTGTGACCTTAAACATGTGGACCCATAGGTGCAGTTAGAAGAAGACGACCTATTTTTATTTATGTTAGAAGAAGTAGAGTATTTTTTTCAAGACATTTATTTTTCAGAGTGGTGATAATTTTACTTTGGATACTCTGTGCCAATTTATTTATAGTCAAGTGTTTACACTTTTTCCTGTGGAATAATTACGTCTAAATTTTTAGGTGTTTGTTGAGATTATGCTGTGGTCTTTCTTTTTGCTCAATTAATATTGCACTTGTATAAGAAATTTCCCTCTCCTCCGTTTCTAAACATATTTTATATATTAAGATGTTTGTTCTCGAAAGGTTCTTTTGTTGTGAGATCAGCAACACTAGCACTTCACTATTATAGTTTTTTTTAAAAAGTAAGTGTTGTTATTCTTATCTGTAGTTATGTCTGAAAAGTACTTTACAACCTGTTTATAAGGAGAGTAGCTTCTTCGTGCGTGCGTGCGTGCGTGTGTGTGTGTGCGTGATGTTTGTGCGTGGGGATGATTTTAGGAAATTAAGTTATTTTCCTAAACAAAAAAAGAATTCAGAACTACTTTCCTCTGTGACAACCAAAAAGAAAAGTCTATAACCTGAAAATGTTTCATGTTCTCAGCTATGAAACTCAAAGCAAGGAGTGTATTTTAGAGACAAGAGAAAAAAAACACATCTGCTATCCAAAGATTTTAGTCTTTTTCAGGGTTTTTTTGTGTCTCTGTTGCTTTATATAATGCAATATTTTGTAGTGAAAATAGATATAATCTGGTTTCTATCTGACAAGTTTTTCATATCTCATGAATGGTGCGCTGTTTTGCATATAAATAAAGGTATCAAATAAAGTCCTCTCCTTTATTTTAAGCATCTGTCTAAAAGTAATGAATATGCTGGCTGAGCATGAAATATCTTAATGGACTAAGTACCTTAAAAAGGAACAAGTGCATTGCAAACATAAAGTCCTGAGTTTGATCCCCCGGTACTGCAAAATAAAATTTACAAAAAAGGAACAAGTAAAACAAAACAAAAACAAACCTTAATGCAGACTTATTCTTGTATTGAGATCCTTGACGCTCTTCTGAACGTGGACACTAATCAGTCTACAAATACCTGCCCCTGATACGGTGATGACACACATCATGCTATCCCCAGTGAGGAAAAGCAGGGTAGAGTTTATATGAAAATCTTACTTGAATCATAGATTCCTTTGCTTTAAAAGAAAATTTTATGACTCTCTAACCAACCTCTGCAAATCAAAGTTAAAGACAGGCCCAAGACAAGACCTGTGTTAAGTCATATAGCTGCTTCCCTTGCAGTAAGAAGATATTTGTGACAGCTCTCCCTCGGGGCACTTATTAAGAGCAAGGTGTATGTTATGCTTGTAACACTCGGGCATCTAATCAGTACACAGATTACTGTTTGTGACACCCACAAACAATAACAAAATGGTCTGGACTAACTTGGAGATGGAAAGAACTTATCTACAAAAACCTACAGCTGGTGTAAAAATGTGAGATACTCTTATCTACAGGAAAATTCGTGAATAAACAGCTATGTGTCTATATATGCACATAAATATAAAGTATATTATGAGCCATTAGTCCATGTCACACAAGATCTCTGGCTTCAGTATAAAAATGTAATCACGTGGATGCTTGGGTTTCTAAACAGTCCGTGGGATTACAAACACTTTTCACTTTTCTCTCAGGCTTCTTGTAGTCAGGTTCACAGATACTTAGAAAATGGAACTTCATTCTCTTCTTTATATGGAGGTGCTTAGGAGGAAAGCACCCCCTACCTCCATGTGAAAAAGAACAGTGTCTTGTCTGTAGACTGTGGCTTGGCCACCACAACCAGGACTAGTTTCTCTCTGACCTGCAAAGATACGTGCTGCCTGTGACCCTGAATATCTGTAGGTCAGCTCCCCTGTAGGTGGAAGAGGGAGATGACCACTTTCAGGCCTTAGAGCATCTATTAAATGACCCAAAACTTGGTCCTGCTGCTGTGCCAAGGAATAGAAGTCAACATCTAGTTCTGGAAACCTTCTGAGGGTCTCTATTTCCTGAGCAATGAGCCCAATTTCCAGCTGACCAACACAGTCTTCCTGTTCACCTCCCTGGATTAAAGTCCCTTGCCCGTGGAGCTGGACAGTGCCCCTTCCCAGCTGCACAATCCATGAGATCCCAGGAGACAATCTCTGTAATGTCATTTCAAATCCAAAGCTGCTGAACACCCTCCAGAGAGAAATGAAGCACTGTGACACTCTGCCATACCAGAAAGTGACTGACTTACCCTTGAGGGTATCATGGGCTCTGCCATTGTTCAACCACAGGTGAGAGTGAAACAGTTCTCTGAATAGAGATGGCAGTACCATTCATGCTTACACCTAAACATTTTTTTTTTGAGGACCTACAGACTGTGTGCCAAGCAATCTTCCAAATGCTAAAAACAGAACAACAGAAGAATGTCATGCCTGTAACCAAAGTCATTGACCATAATTTTAGATAATGATGAATTCTAAGAGGAGAAATAAAAGAGTGAGAAAATGGAGACTGGCAGTGGGAGGTGCCAGTGGTGAGTAGTATTTTAGCTTGGGCTGGGAGGGAAGGCCTGTCTGAGGGAGTAGCCTAGCCAGCATCTACAATCACTGCTACTGGTGTTACCTTTTCTTCTCATAGCCCTTTTTTTTTTTGGTACCTGGGATCAAACTCGGGACCTTGCGCTTGCGAGGCAGGCACTGGAACCACTGAGCTAAATCCCTGGACCCTCATAGCCTTTTAACCTGTCTAAGATTCATGGCCTAAAGACAATCCATACAGACCACTCGCTCTTCCCAGCCGGCCCAGCCTTGTCCTTTACACACCTGGATCTTTCCCTGGACAAACCTAGAACCATGGTTCTGTTTGCTGCTCCTTGCACCTTCTCTGCCTGGGCACCACTGCTCCCCAGAGAGCCTAGTGTATACCACAGCCACCTGGGTCGGACAGTTCTCTGCCCAGATCGTCTTCTCCTCACTTCAACTGCTGCCCAGAGACTTTCAGAGAGCACGAGACAAAAGTGCAGGGACAGGGCAAAGACAGCAGCAGTGGAGGGCAGCAGGCGATGGATGGAGTGGGAAAGGAGGAGCCAACTGAGGAAAGAGGAGGAGATTGGTATGGAGAGTAACCTAACTGGTCGGGGCTGGGAGACTGGGAGGAACCCTTGTCCCGAGCAAGGCCTCACACGTGGATTAGAAGTTCCGAGAGCTAGAGGTGGACCTTGGAGTGGCAGGAGGTGAGCTGCACGGGGTGGGGCTTTGTGGTGGGCACGATGCCTTATTGCTGCTGCGAGCCTTCTGGGCCCTGGGTGAGGAAAATCAGACACTGTAAACCTAGAACATATACAAAGCCAAGAAAATAGGAAAATGGATTCTAATATATCCAAAATCCACCTTCACTAAGTACATTTCGTTCATGGCCTTATTCTATCTGCCACTACTCCTTTGGGCTTTCAATTTTTATTGTCTATAAGTATTAAAGTATAAATAATGTAGAGATATAAATGTTGAATCAGTAAACATGTTTCAACTGACGTCTTTAACATTTTATAAGTTCATTAAATCACAAACATGTTGAATCAGTTTTGGGGAAAAACAGGGTGTTAAAGGCTACAAAAATAAGTTATGATAATAATTTTAAAAGTTTTCAATTTCTTTTTTTTTTGTATTAAATTCTTTTATTGGTACATTGTAGGTATACAACACAATTACATTTCTCATTGGGAATTGTACCTTTACATAATGCATCTTGGTTCTTATTTTTTCCCCATTCCTAGCCCTCCCTTCACCCCCTCCACCCTTCCCTATTTACAAAGACTTTATTTCCATTTTTTCCATTTCTCAGCATTTTTCCTTTCCCTTCTTTCCTTTCCCCTGCCCCTCCCACTACCCCTACCCCTTTGGACCTTTTCTTCCTATTTTACATTATCGATTATTCATTCTAATCATTGGTACATTTTAGGTATACAACATAATGACATTCATCATTGGAAATTTGCACCTTTACATAGTCTCTCTTGGTTCTTATTTTTCACCCTTGCCCAGCCCTCCCTTCAACCCCTCCAGTCCTCCCTATTAACAAAGATTTTCTTCCTATTTTTCCATTTTCTCATATTAATCCCATTCCCTTCTATCCTTTCCCCTAGCCCTTCCACTTCCTTCCCCTTTGCCCCTTCCTATTTCACATTACCTATTATACATTTAGTCCTTATTTACACTTTAAGTTTTCAATTTCTTTAGTGACTGCTTCTTTTAATGTTAAAAAAACCAAAAATAAAAAAATCAATGTCATCAAATTACTGTCTCAGTGTTAAAATTTTATTTATTTATTTATTGCCATATTGGGGATTGAACCCAGGGCCTTTGTAATGAACAGTATCCTCACTCAACCTCTATTTTTGGAGACAGGGCCTTGCTAAGTTGCCCAGGGTGACTTGTAACTTGGGATTTTCCTGCTTCAGCCTCCCAGACAGCTGACATTACAATCATGTGCTACCACACCGGGCTTCAGCCTTAATAGTTTGAAGAACAATATGTCAGTGTATACTAAAGCTACTAATAGCATGAAAATATTTCACATGGAAAATTTCACTTCAAAAACTTAAAAGTTTTTTTTTTTTTTTACATAAAAGCATCACAATAAATGATCATATGTAAGATCATTTCTGAATTGGGATGAAAACAATTCTGAATATGGGAACCAAGAAAACCAATACAAAGCTCAACAATGTGCACTTAGCACTTAAAAGTGAAATGCAAATTTTTTAAACAACATACATACCCATTTCTATCAGATTCAGTTGTCATAATAAATTGTTTATAAGAGACAGTAAGGTGCCCCTAAGTCTCTTCTCCTTGAAAATAATATTTCTGGGAACTCATTCATTACAAGAATGTGTTCAGCACCCCCCCCCCACACACACACACCAAAAGAAAATAAAGAAAAAGTTAAAGGAATGGGCCTGTATGCCCTCGGAGATTCTATGTTCAACTTTTTCCATAAGGCATAAATAATGGTAGGTAAAAACAACCATTTGCTTTTTGAAGCAAATCCAAACACAGCATCATTTCATTCATAAAAACAATAATATGTAGAGCTAAAGGTAAGGCTTTTTTTTTAACTTTTACCATAACAAAAAATCATTGTTGCAGTGAAACAATGCCATTTCCTGAACATCTTAGGTGAGCACCATCTCTGAGAGGAATTTTGAAGCTGCTTGAATCTATCTTTCTGACTCTTTGTTTCCAGCCATTTGGATCCTCTCTGGTGGACTTTTAAATGTCACCCCCTTCCCCTTAGCTTTGGCACCTTCTCTCACACACATGTGGCACTTGAGCCCTGGGTCCCCACCAGGGCAGCGGATAGGTTGGTGCCTCTTCAGAAGAAGGTGTCGGGGTCCCTACACATGTTGGAGTGAGCGCACTGCCAGGGCCTACTTCAGGCAGATTTTAAAATGAACAACCTGCAGGTGGAGTTTCTCAGGCATTGGTCACTGGGCAGCCACTAGGGTCAAGCAGTGACCTGGAGTAGGAAGCTCTCTGGGGTCTTAGGAGAGAGGGACCTGCCTGCCTTCCTTGACAACAGCAGCCTGTGGATGTGGATGCCTGAGTGTCACTAACAGCAGTGTCCCTGCAAGAGCCTTTTGGCTCTCTGAGCTCCTCCATCACATTTGCTATCTCTCTGAGTCACCAGGCTCCTTTCTTGGAGGGGACCACTGCCACTGAGGGGTGAGGTGACTTACCCTCAGTCCCACATCCTGCGGGGCAGTCCCCC